CGTCTTCTTCGTGCCTCACCTCTGTACAGCATCTTCTTTTGAACACTAGACAATCAGCATGGTCCTCGGATGGCTTGGTGGCAAGGCCAAGGCTCCTGCCCATGCCAGAAGCCTGAACGCGATTGATGAGCTTGCTCAGAGTGAGTATGCAGTCTATAGTACATTGGAAGGCACTGACATGAGACAGTCCAGGATGCCATGAGCGGTACGATAGCCGCTGCCTGAGACCCTGGACCCAAACTAATGGCACGCGAGTAGCTGTCACTCATATTATGGCCGACGACATCGACAGTGCCGAAGAGCATCTTCGAAAAGGGCATTCGCCTTTCCATCAGGTGTGTTCCACCATGTGAGGCAGCCCGCAGACAAGTTTGGTCGCTTACAACTGCATAGCTGGGCGTCGGTGTGTGCATGTTCATGCGAGCAACCCTAGGTTTTGAACAAGATGTCATGCGGGAAGGTCTGAGACCCTGAGCAAGCGGACTCACCAACCTCCAGCACTGACATAACACAGCCAATGACATGCTTTACGCCGCAGAAAACGGCGCATACGAGAGTCAGCGAAGAGTCGCGAAAGACGCAAACGCGTTCCGTTCAAACATCTATCCTCAAGGCACCGAATACGCAGTCTGTCAGGCAGAAGCCCAGTTGATGAGCGCTGTCGTCGGCGTGCTCAATGAAAGCTTGACCGAAGCTCTCAAGAGCTTTTACAAACTGAGAAAGGCGTACATCACGCTCGAATCGATCATGGAGGCAGAGAGGACTTTCCTGCGCGGGAAGAGCACCAGCAGTCTGAACTCTTCTCGCACGTCCTCAAAGCCAGCCTCGATCCGATCCACTGGCGGCGGTGCTCTCAAGAAGACACTTTCCAAGACTCCTTCACTCCGGAAATCTGCGAACTCTTCGGCTGCAAGCCTGAAGCAGCCTGAAATACAGCCAGTACCAGCAGTAGCAACGAAGAAGAATGGCAAGAGCGACGACGAGCCCGACTTCGTTGATGCTGAGCAAGAACGAGGTGCTCAAACTCCGCTAGAATACACTGGTCATCTCAATATACCAGTGGAGGGAGGGTCAGTGACACTGGACAACAAGCAAAAGGAGGTGGACGTCAATGCCAGCTCCGCACCAGGTCTGCCGGCCGGCAACCCGCAAGACACATCTGTACCGGATCCGATCGCTGATTTCGAGAGGCTTGTTCTGAGGGATGATAACGGACAGGCCAGTGTGTCGGAGTTCACGGACCACCCTATTGACGAATTCATTATCTCTGGGGCCAGCTTCTGCTTCGGTATCTTGCTGGTAATCGTGTCCATGGTGCCACCAGCGTTCGCATCAGTGTTGAAGGTGATTGGATTCAAGGGAGATAAGGATCGTGGTCTCCGGATGCTTTGGCAGGCAACAAAGTTCAACAACATTCATGGAGCTATGGCCGGTGTCGTACTGATGGGCTACTTCAATGGTTTCGTTGGATTTTGCGACATTATCCCACAGACCGGCGAGGGTGCTTACCCTGAGAGGCGATGCAAAGCGCTCATGGCGGAAATGAGGAGGAGATACCCGAAGAGTCATCTTTGGCTACTTGAGGAGGCTCGAATGCTGTCCAGAGAAAAGCAGCTGGAGGCTTCTGTCAAATATCTGGAAGATATTGGCGAGTCGCCTTTCAAGCAACTCGAGGCGTTGAGTTGGTTCGAGCGATCGCTAGACCTCATGTATATGCATGAGTACGTGAAGACTAGCGATGCCTTCCAGACCTGCATCACCCTGAACAACTGGAGTCACGGATTATACCACTACATTTGTGGAGCTTCTTACGTCGAGCTATACCGACGAGCTAAGCTGTCCGATCCAAAGGCTGCCCAGGCCTATGCAGACAAGGCAAATGAGTACTTCAAGCAGGTCATTCCAAATATCGGCAAGAAGAAGTTCATGGGTCGCCAGCTACCTTTCGATACATTCGTCAACCGCAAGCTTTCGAGATGGGAGGCACGAGCGAAGGAGTGGGACTGCGAATTCATTGACGCAATTGGCGTTTCGCCTATAGAGGAGATGATCTACTTCTGGAATGGCTACAAGCGCATGCGTCCTGAGCATCTGCAGCACTCGCTTGAGAACCTCGCGTGGAGTGAGTCGGCTGCAAACCCTCACTGGGCAAAGGAGGATTTAAACGAGAGAGCCATTCTCTCCACGCTCCGTGCTGTCACACTACGCACTCTGGGTCGGACCGCTGAAGCCAAGGAGATGCTGCAAAAGGAGGTTGTCGCACATGATGCCACGGCATTTGCTGGTGCTTTGAAGGACGACTGGATGCCGCCAGTTGCACGATATGAGATGGCGGCCTGCGCGTGGCAGGAGGCCGACGTCGATGGTAGCCCTCAAGCGCATCCAGACGAGCTGAACGAGTGCAAGACTTGGCTTGAGGCTGCAGGTAGCTGGGGCGGATATGTCTTGGATGCAAGGTAAGTCTTCTGTATCCCTAGGCTCTGGCCGAATGCTGACCACCATCGTAGGATCGGTATGAAGATCACAACAGGAAAGGGTACTCTCAGAAAGTTTGGTATCGCTATCTAGACTAAGAGCTGCAGCGACTATAGCGTATACAGAATTGAGTATGGAATTTAAGTTTGGTCACCCGGAGACTTGTACATATCCCATGATTGCATTCTACGAACATGAAATGGCGATGAATACTGTAGTTAAGATTTAGCAACTTATGTCTCTAGCGAACATCACTGTATGTAGATGACTACGTGAAAGCACTGTTATTCGTTTGCGAGTTGGCTGCATTGGGTTTCGAACCTACCGTGGTGTGCCCAATATCCCAACTTGGCTCTTGAGTAGTAGAGCGAGCGCGACGCGTCGTACGCACCACGCATTATGCATCACACAATCTGGACTCCCACTTCACATCTATCCTCACAGTCCATCTTAATCTTCAAGTCAGGCTTCAGTAACGCGTACGCATTTTCTGCCAATCGATTTTCTCGATCCACATCAGTCATTACAACTCGGTCCACTTCAACGTAGACTGCATGCTAGTAGCCCTGAGCAGACACTGCACTTTTGAAGAATTCAGTTCAGAAAAGGTAGAAGGACAAAGCAGCCAATTAAGACTGTAGCCATCCCAGACCCACTCTTAATTGTCTAATACCTACCAATTAGATCTGAGGTCCTCCGGTCAGAACCATTCTCGCAGTGCAGTCGGCATCCGGTCGGCCCTAACAAGGTGCTGTACTCACAGATAGTGGACGCGTTTGCTGGCCGTTACGCGATCCTAGTCTTATCACCTGACTTCTATCGTCCCAGTTCGCTGCACGACAACATCTTACGCAGATTCCACGTTACGAACACACATCCCATCTCACTTTAGGGTGCCGGACCTGCCTCGTGCCTCGTGTACAACATGCCTATATCAAAGAGGGCACCGCCTCAGAAAAACAAGATCTCAAAATACTTTCAGCTGCACGCCCGTCAAGCATCACCAGTGAGTGGCGATGCGTCTGACCCAGCACTTCCAGCGCCAACGAGCGTGATCTCGACGCCGGTGACCACTGTGCCCGCTCATCCGCTCAACGAACAGACACCCGTCTCCAGTCAGAACAGCCAGACTAACGCAATTCCATCTCCACGAGACTTGTCAGTAGCCAGTCAATTCAGCGATCCTTGTCTGAAAACATTCGCATATTTCTTGCCGACGAGGAAGAAGACGACCACGTTGATCGTCTGAATGAGATCATCGAGTTAGCAAATGTTCACAACGAGGCGCTTGGGCTCTCATTGATTCCAAATCAGCAGCCAACTTATGAGCCAATGCTGCTCATTCCATCTGCTGAATCACATGCCGAGACTATTGAAGAGACTGCTGATTCCCCACTGGATGAATTCGATGAAGGACTTCCTGATGTCGGAGACAACGACGATGAGAACAAAGATACAGCTTCTGCGATAAGGTCGTTTCTGTTTCCAGCAGTTCGGGTGTGTCCCTTCGTTGCGAAAGGCTTGTGCAACCATCCAGGTTTTACCAGGCAGAGAGCGCTATCTACACATTGCAGAATGAAGCATCAAGGTGAGAACGGAAAGCCAATCATCCTCACTACGGTTGAGGAGGATCCCCTCGAAGATGGTACAGCGAAGATTCGTTGCCGGTGGAAGTGCGACAGATTCTTCACGAGCTATTATGCCGCAAACGACCACACTAAGAAAGCGACCACCCATTGCGAAAAGTTGGAGTCAAACATCTACCCAAGGCCTTATCCGTGATCAGAAGTACCAGGAACAGGATGCAGGAACCCCGTTTCTCGCAGCATAGCTCTAGACTGTCTTCCAGTGCTTCCAAGTGGTCGAAGATCCCCAAGGGTTTCATCGAGGCCGAGACGAGCCTGCCTGCTGCGTCACAAGCTATCTATTTGAACGGCCAGGCCGTAGCGAATGAGACAAAGACACTGGAAGAGGCTCTTACAAAAGATGGCGAGATGCTCGCTGTAGTCATCCGGCAGGCTCGTCCGGCCGCAACTGCCAGAAGGAGCCTATGTTCGTCTGCCTTCATGGGGACATAACTCAGAACACCAAAGAGCATCACATAGTCTCAATGCCCAAATCTATCGCTATATTTTCTCCTGAATCGGTGTTGTACGTGAGCACGCTGCATCGCCGTGATTGAGTGGTTGGAAAATGTAACAAGGCTAAGTCCGCCGAGGTGGAACGAAAACTTCTCCCTCCCTCCCGCCACTGCTCTTCCACATACTTCTCATGCACACACTTGCACTCACAGCACTGTCCCACCCCCTCATTTGCGTGCAGCAGCTCAGGCAGAATGAGTTGTGTTTCCTAGCAAGTGGGGTGGAATTCCTGACGGAACTCGGCCGATGAAGAGTGGGGCATGCAGCAAGATTTTTCACCATCATTATAGTATTTCAAACCCGTGTTCTTTTCATCTAATCAAACCATGGCACTTTGGGTAAGTTTCGCTCATCAACGAGTTCGACAGAAGCAAATACTAATTTCGGATCGTAGCGGAGTGGTTAACGCGTTGGCCTGCTATAAATCTCATGGTTTAAGTCAGCCAATTCCTTCGGGAGCGTGTGTTCGAATCACACAGGTGTCGCAAGATAATTTTTTTGCGCCCACAACTGAATAGTCTCTTGTAGTACTAAGACCTCAGAGGGCGTGGTATGTTTTTGTATATTGTAGATGGCTTGCCATTGTAATATTGTGATTGTGCAAGCTCTGTTCTTGTGTGAATAGTTCTGCGAATATGCACTGGACAACACATATCATGTCTGTTCAAGTAGATACTAGATAGTTCCTGTTCTCTTCCTATTTCAACTTTACAAGACAGAACATTGTGTTCCCGTAAGCATTTTTGGGGAGGGGGGCTGCACTTCAAAGTTCTGAATCATTACCTCGGTATAGCGGCACAATTGATGCTCCGCCTCCAGATTCATCCCTCACATTGTGCGACTACGACTAGACTACAACCCAACGTGATCTCACTCGGCCAAAAGCCGAAGAGGATTCATATTGCAGCGGGTATACTTCCCAAGACGGAACGACTTCCAAGCTCTCGCGAAATCGCACAAGCTCTTACCCCAGCGCCACCCCGCTGATCGTCAACCGTCCTGCCGTATTCCGCAGCGGCTCAGCCGTTTAAGAGCATCGTTCCCCGCGTGCGTCATCAACCAGGATACCCGGAGAGCCGCCAGCTGCCGATATTGGTGGATTCACGCTGTCCGCGCTGTCATAATTTAGCGGTGCAAGGGTTGCAGTGCGGAGGAAGCCAGGCTTTTTCTTGTTTCCGGTGGAGAACGAGAGGAAATGGATGGAGATCCGTGATTCGGGTAACATTTAGACGATACTAGTGGGTATGAGGTTATCCCAGGCACGAAGGTTTCGTCATTGGATGATGTGCTCGGTGGGCGTGCCGACCATGTGATGTACAAGTATTGACCTGGCCCAGTGTACAGTTGAAGAGGTTACGCTTTGCTTTCTCTCAAGATGAAGGGTATCTTGAAGCTTGGTAGCGCAGTCGCACTGTCGTGTCTTGCTGTTGAGACGGCAGCAAGAGCCGTCGCTTTCCAGCCTGACCAATGGATTAAGCCCTACAAAAGGGAAGTCCTACAAGATATTGTGACCTGGGACAAGGATTCGATCTTCGTCAACGGCGAACGCGTTTTCTTGTACTCTGGTGAGGTGCATCCGTACCGGTAAGCGTTCGCAGCCTATATCAGATTGTCATAATACTGATCATGAGTAGTCTCCCGGTACCGGATCTTTACCTTGATCTCTTCCAGAAAATCAAGGCGCTCGGGTACAACGGTGTATCCTTCTACGTTGACTGGGCGCTGCTCGAGGGCAAGCCTGGCCAATACCGCGAGGAAGGTGTTTTTGACTTGCAGCCCTTTTTCGATGCCGCCTCGGAGGCTGGAATCTACCTCATCGCTCGACCTGGTCCTTATATCAATGCGGAATCATCAGGTGGCGGCTTCCCGGGATGGATCCAGAGAGTCAATGGTACTCTGAGGACGAGAGCTCCCGACTTCCTCGCGGCAACGGACAATTACATGAAAAACATTGGTGCGAAAATTGCTTCAGGTCAAATCACCAATGGCGGTCCCATCATTCTTGTCCAGCCTGAGAACGAATACACTCAGGCTACATCAGCTATCAAGCCCTTCCCGGACCCTGAGTATTTCCAATACGTGGAAGACCAACTTCGCGACGCCGGCATAATTGTGCCTCTCATCTCAAACGACGCCAGTCCTAAGTAAGTTCGCAGATATCTCTAAGTTATACATCGCAGCGAGAAACAAATTTCAAGCTCTTGGACTAACATGGATAGGGGATACAACGCACCGATCGAGTCGGCTCCGGGTTACCCTGCAGTAGTGGATATCTACGGACATGATGGTTATCCTTTGGGCTTCGATTGCGCAAACCCGGACGTTTGGCCCAACAATGCTTTGCCAACTAATTGGCACGACCTGCACTTGAAGCAGAGCCCAAATACCCCGTACAGCATCCTCGAATTCCAGGCTGGTAGTTTCGACCCTTGGGGTGGGCCAGGCTTCGACAAGTGTGGTGTCCTTGTCAATGCTGCATTCGAACGCGTTTTTTACAAGAACCTCTACAGCTTTGGCGTCACCATCCTCAACTTGTACATGACATACGGAGGAACCAACTGGGGCAACCTAGGTCATCCTGGCGGATACACATCTTACGATTACGCTGCTGTGATCAGAGAGGATCGCCGTGTGGACCGCGAGAAGTACTCTGAGCAGAAACTGCAGGCCAACTTCTTCAAAGTTAGCCCAGCGTACTTGACTGCAGCTCGAGGAAGCGCCTCCAACGCCACTTGGACCAGTTCTCAGGCGTTGACCGTCACTCCTGCCACCAGTAATACCACCAACTTCTACTTCGTTCGTCATGCGAAGTACAACACCCTGGATTCGGTCACCTACAAACTTAACGTTCACACCGCTGCCTTTGGAAACATCACTGTTCCCCAAGTGAATGGTACTTCGCTCACGCTCAACGGACGCGATTCTAAGACTCATGTCAGTGACTACGATATTGGCGGTGCCACGCTTGTGTACTCTACTGCAGAGGTATTCACATGGCACAAATACGACGACAAGACTGTGCTTGTCGTTTACGGAGGACCAGGTGAGACTCACGAGCTGGCTCTCGCCGTAACTGGCCTCGAAGTGCTTGAAGGCGATGTCGAGAGCATCACTACGCGCGGATACACTGTCTTGAACTTCGCCGTCGATGGCGGCAGGAAGGTCGCAAAGGTCGGCGTGGAGAACAGCTTTATATATGTCTACATGGTCAGTCGCAACGAAGCATACAACTACTGGGCTGTCGATCAAGCACCCCACGACAACTCGGATGCGGTCATTCTCAAGGCAGGCTACTTGACTCGCACGGCCAAGGTCGAAGGCAATACTCTCGCTATTACCGGAGATCTTAACGCAACGACACCCATCGAGGTCATCGGCGCGTCTTCTTCAGTCACCAAGGTCACATTCAACGGAAAGGACGTTAGTGTTGCGCCCTCCAACGCAGGTGCCCTGTGCGGTTCAATTGAATTGCCCAAGGCCGACATTAGCGTGCCTAAGCTGAACGAGCTTGAGTGGAAGTACATCGACACCCTGCCCGAGATCCAAACGAGCTACGACGATAGCAAGTGGAAGATCGCAGACCTGAAGAAGACTTACAACTCTCTGAGGCCTCTTACCACGCCTGTTTCCCTGTATAGCTCTGACTACGGTTTCCACACCGGCACACTTCTCTACCGCGGTACTTTCAGGGCTACTGGAAATGAAACCACCTTCTACGCCTGGACTCAGGGTGGTTCTGCCTTTGGATCCTCCATCTGGATCGGCGATCAGTTCCTTGGATCTTGGCGTGGTTACGATGCCGCCACAAATGGCAATTCCACGGTGACCCTACCAAACCTCACTGCCGGCAAAGAATACACGATCACCATTGTCATCGACAACCAAGGTCTCGATCAAACCTGGACCATCGGCACAGAAACAGGCAAGAACCCTCGTGGTGTTCTGGATTACAAACTCGCAGGCCACAGCCAGTCCGATGTCTCGTGGAAGCTGACAGGCAACCTGGGCGGCGAGGACTACGTCGATATCTCGCGTGGTCCGCTCAACGAGGGTGGTCTATTTGCTGAGCGAAACGGCCTGCACCAGCCCGGCGCTCTGTCTGCTGATGCCGGCTGGAAGGCCAGCAAGGGCCCAGTCACTGACGGTATATCTGCCCCTGGTGTCGGTTTCTTCGCTACCGAGTTCGATCTTAACCTGCCCACGGGCTGGGACATCCCCGTCAGCTTCACTTTCACAAACGGCACAAGCAGCAACAGCACCGGCTCCGGCTCAAGTGTGCCGGCTTACCGCGTCCAGCTGTACGTCAATGGCTGGCAGTATGGCAAGTATGTCAGCAACGTTGGCCCTCAGACCAACTACCCAGTGCCTGAAGGTATTTTGAACTACCGCGGCACCAACTACCTTGCTGTATCGCTGTGGGGTCTTGATGCTGGCGCGACTAAGATCGAGGGCTTAGAGTTGACTGTTGATGGAGAGGTCTGGGGTGGCCTGGAAGTGGGTGTTGTTGAGGGGCAGAAGTATGAAGCCAGAGAGGGCGCATACTAGAGAATTACATACAGCATATAGCTAGTATGAATCAACCATCAAAGTAATTATCTCAGGTGCGAAACGAAGGGTGTGATACGTGTGAATTGCATAAGGCCTAAATATCTAGAATACAAGCGTGCTTGATCTCTGCGCCTGTGATGTAGTCCGTGATCTTCTTGTACTCCGCAAATCCCTCAGTCTTCGCAAACGAAAAGTGCTGTTCTACACTCGCCCAGGGTGTTATTGGAACAAACTCTTCCTTATTCCCTTCTCTGTCGATCCGCCAACCTCCCCCGATGCTACCTTCGGACAAAAAGTCCTGCAAGTGATGCTTCTCTGCCTCGTATGTTTGCTCATATTGCTCCCTCTGGCCATCCTTCATAAAATGCCTGCCGATCGCATAGACTGGAGCTTTCGGCTTAGCCCCGTCGGCTCCTGGCAGCGACAGCTGTGCATGCGACACGTCGATGTGCAGCAGCCATTCTACCGTCAAGACGTCCTGAAGGTCCGCGAGTACTGCTTGGTTGTCCGCACTTGGTATAAACTCATTTATGTGTTCGTCCAAAGAGTCCCATTCTCCGACAATGTAGATGTATGCAGGATCCTCGACTTGCTGGAGGTAGTAGAACGTTCGGCCGGTATAAGTTTGCATTACGTTTTTGGCATGCGCGAGGCCTGAGCGAAGATTCGAATCATCGATCGCTACGCCTGGTAATAGATGCAGAAGGGCAAGCTCGGTGATAGGCATCGTGTATGCGTTGTGCGGAGAGTGAATTGGAAGCTGATCTGGAGGTTAACAGGACAGGGTCAGTGTGAAATCAACTTATATCGTGTTCTCAACACGAGGTCAAATGCATGAGTGCTGTTCAAGCCACCAATATCAGGTAGACGTGCTTGCGTATGAGCATGCGCGTGAGATGAACCGTCGCCACAAGAGGCTCTCGTCCATGACTAATCT